TGAAAGTTTCATGATGATATCTTTAACCGTTCTTGAGATTATTCGTAGACAAAATGTCATTTTAATTTCAGAAAATGGTCCGTAATTTGGCACCAAAAAGAAAATTTCCAAAAAATCGCTCAGATAGATCAAATTCATGTAACAACACATCTTCACTGATAATTTCAAGTAATTCCATCCAGTAGTCTTCGAGAAATCGCGCACACAAAATTAGAAAGTCAAAAAAATAATAAAAAGAATAATAATAAGAAACAGTACAATAACTATAAGGTCTTCCGTGAAGACGGAAGACCTTAGTCTTCCGTGAAGACGGAAGACCTTAATAAGAAGAAGAAACAATAGAATCACTATAAGGTCTTCCGTGAAGACGGAAGACCTTAATGAAGTACACTTACAATGTTGTCTTTAGAGAATCCACAATGCGTACCTCCCTTCTGATCAGGAGTAGCTGATGTCACGGTACATCCTTGTGCAGCGGTTAGTAGTTCAGACTGATTTCTATATGCAAAGTAATTGGACAGAGGAACATATTCGCTTCCATTGTAGCCGATGTTAGATACATAAGCATATCTCAAGGAATCGGTGTCGTCGAATGTTTTCTGTAAGTCAGTTTTAAAAGCAATAGGAATTAGATTAACAGAACCCCTCTCTCCAGAGAGGAACCAAAATGTTTGCAAAACAGACACGACTTGTGAAGACCGAATGGTAAGAGGAGTATCAAGGTCGACTCGTCTTTGGATCCTATCATACTTGTTCGGAATGGTGACAAAATCATACCCTGAAATATGGATTGTCGTGTCGTCAATAGCAGTCACAATCGTCAATACATTGCCGTAAGGACGATCTCCTAAAGGGACCACCACGTAATGCGTTCCCCACAAGGTGATTGGTAACAGTTGTTCCAGAAGATATTCTGCTCCTCCTGAGTTGCTCAATGGTATACTTGCTGTGTAAACGATCAGCTTTTCTGAAGAAACAATTCGCGTTCCTGTTATATCACAGCTGTATGTTAGAGATTCTGTTTCGTAACTCTGCAGAGTCAGGTCCAACGTCTCATTTGGACACAAGTTTCCTTCGAAGTTTCTTTTTTCAGGGAATTTTAAGCTGACAGTTATATCATCGTTAGTCGGGTTGCCCAATCCCAGGATACTCCTCCATGTGATATCGTGGTATACCGGGACTACATATTCAGTGCCCAGATAGTCATCACTCAGAGCAAGGAACATTTCTTTTCCCATGAAAGCTATAACACTTTTCTCGGAATTAACGCGATAAATTGTATTGCGAGTCAAATTTGTTATCAATGCTGTCTTATTTAATCTTACATCGCATATTTCTTTGCTGGTTATATTTAGATGCTGAGATGCGTAATTTTGTCCAGTATCATTAACAAAAAATAGATGATGTGGCGTTTGTTCTGAAATGAATAAAATGAACAAATTATTTTTTGTTTTGATTTTAATTAAGTAACATTCAATTGCAAAATAAATCAAACTAAAATATCCAAATAAGATTAACATATATGCTGTACAGTATATAATAAGTGTTTACTTGGAAAATATATTATGTTTTTATTAGGTACGTCAGTTTAATCTCTTTTTTTTTTTATAAAAAAAGTTGACAAAGGATAAAAGGATGTTTATTCCTTATATGCACCTGATCCGACATCTGGTTTTTCATGGACAGGGGTCCTTGTTTTGCCCTGTTCACGATTTTGTATAGATAATAATACGTAGTATTTATGATATTGATTACTGTTTGTTTTTTTGTTTGTGTTTTTTTTTTTTTTTAGGTATTTATGCCATTTTTGACAAAAGGTTAGTAAACTTAGTCTTTCTTGAAATGAAATGACCGGTCCCTTACCTGTTGAGCAAGGATTGGTACAAATTGTCTGACAAACAACCGACAACAGAATAAAACCTACGTACACCATATCTGTCAAATAGAAATACATGATAAATTGTTAAAAACACCGATTTTGGACCAATTTCAAGAAAAAATAGCTCTAAAATGTTATTAGGGGAAAATAAATATCAACATTTCTTTAACACAGAAAACGAGTTGTGTTACATTTTACAGTAATTTTTTTGACATTTTTCTTTTCATATTTAAAATCAGATTACACATCCTTAGATGTTGACAATCTAAAAATGATTTTTACTGCAATGATAGCTCCGTGAAAATACCGGAGTATGCATTTTTGGATAACTCATTAAACTTTTGATAGAAACTTTTGCCTAAGGGCTGCTCAATGTATTTCCTGAGGACGAATAAAATATTACATACCCTAGGGTATAGTCTTTTGAAGCTAGTTATCTAATCTGTTATTTTTATTTTTTGTAGCATATGCAAATGAATATTATTCTATTGAACCACTTGCCGTCAATGTATCCGATATGGAATTGATTAAGGCTTCAACCTGCTTATAAACAATTCATGTTTCCTGCATGAGCAACTGTTATCTGATAATAAAAAATAGAAACAAGAAGCGATAATTTACTGAGGAGGCTCACACAATCAATAAATATAAAATACACGAAGATGGAAAACAAAATAATTTGTTGCATAAAACAGAAGATAAATATATCACATACAGTTAAGACAACAGGTATAAAGATAATGAGATTAATTGAATTTGATATCGGGAAAGGATTAATGACTTTCAGACTTTCCCTTTTTAGCGAAGATAGAAAAACGTCCTTTCTTAAAATGAATAATTATGCTACTTTTGTCTGGAGTAGCTTTATGTTAAAAAATTCGCTTCCTTTTTAGTGTACATATAATTGATGAAAAAAGTTTTAAAAGGCAATTTATGTTATAAATTCAAAATTTTTCATATAGATTTTATTAACCAAAAAAAAAAAAGATGAAATATGAAATTTATTAGTTTGAGATCACGTGAGTGACTCTATTTATATGTGTAGTATAAACTTTGAAAATCTTCTCTGCTTCTCTAGGCATCAAGGAGATAGAGTACTACTGTAAGTTATAATGAGCAGAAGTGTCCTACGGGAATCCTAAATCTTCTTAAGTCAAAGTCTTTATGTTATAGTGCTATTTTGTAGTAGTCCAAGAGACCAAATTTAAAAAATAGCTTTCAATGTTGCTTTTGTAATCACAAAAGTGTTGTTGTCTGCAAATTAAGAGATAAATTATATAATTGTGAAATAATTTATAGGCAATTGAATTACTGACTGAAGTTCTAAGTCTGTTTCATGATCCTTGGGTCGGGGCAACTAAGTCAATTGATGTGGTGCTTTACCAAACTCTATTGTAGACCTCTATCGCGAAAAATTATATCCATTTGCTTTTCAAATACTTATTACTGAAAAATGTTTAGTAATACAGCGTTAAGTTGAATAAAATAATTAAAAAGAATTTTAAATTCATGTTACAAAATTGATTTCAATAGTTTTATGGTTTAATAGGCATGTGGCAATTAATTATTAGATAAATGCGTATGAGACAGAAATCTTGTGTTATACATTAATAATATTCAAAGACAAAAGAAGCCGATATGAGAGGGAATGATATGGATATGTAGTCTGTGTTCAAACACATTATTTTGTTTAATCTCTATGGCGATACTGACAGAAAGGTAAGTAGATTGAGTAAAATGATTTGTTATTGAGAACTGGACTAAATTATTATTGATTTTCTATCATCCTTCCTGATTTTTCCCTCGCTTTTTTAGCATTTCTTAATTCACCAGTTTCCCTTTTACCTATAAGTTGCATAGATCATGCAGTATTGTATCATATTTATAGGTGGCCGTTAAAGCCCTTAAGCCTTTTGTTGAAAAGCACAATGAAAAGAATAACAATAGCCATTTAATTTGCTTAAAACTTGGTTTATGGATAAGAAGAATCATACTGCAGTTTCTTCGCCAAAAATATCCCTAAGGAACAACATAAATTAACACGAGGACCATAGGCCTTATAGGTCTCCATAGCATCATGTAACTCGATTTGGTTCATGTTTTAAAAAAGAGGCCATAGCATTCACAATTTTGAAAGAAGCACCATTGCTTACCATAACTATTCACTTAGCATGATTATTTAAAACCCATTTGCAGAGAAGGGGAACAAAAAAAACATCAAAAATAATCAGAAAAGTCATAATATGTAGTGCCACCATCCCACAGAAACCCCAGGACCTCTGGCCAACCATTTCACAATTTCGGAAAAGGCGCCCTTGCTCATCAGAAATGTTTGATTAATACCAACAAGTCCAGTACAGTCTCTTGATTTAGCTATATAGCTTTAAATAGCTATATACCTTTATTAAGGTATTCAGAATAGTTTTATTTAGCTATTTATCAGCATTTTTTCACAAAAATATTTTTCTTATAAGAAATAAACAAAAAGTCGCATACATTTGACTCTTTATACATGTATATACATGTATACCATGGACTATTAAAACAGCAACCAAAATCAAAGATAGTTCTAACAGCGCAGTGTTTGAAAACTCAAAATATTCAAGGTTGAATATCATCAATGCACCAATGTACGACTTTTTGCACATGCTTAGAAAACTACACATTTAAGAAAAAATGTGATAAAATACCTAAATTAAAGGCCGAGGTTTTCAACCGTACGGTTTTCCTCAGGTAAGTTTGGTGTGGGGTGGAGCTTAAGGGTACTAACCACAAACAACAAACAAAAAAATGGATGCGCGGTTTGATATATATTTTTTCACTGATTTTGATTTGTATTGATATAAATAATAAATCCCTGAAATATAAAGAAATCGTAGGTTTTCCTTGGTGCTTAGATTTGAGATCTTATTTTGCCTTCTATATAATTCCATACAAAATTTTGCACAATTTTTTTAACTTTATGACAAAATCTTATAAAATTCTCCCACTCTACTTGGTAAACATTATTCAGGTTGTCAATTTAAATGTAAATCTATAAGAAATAATGCTGATTTCTGAAAAAAAGTTTGTGTTATTTATCCTTAATCGAAGCGGCTGAGAAGCCCCCAGTGAACGACGCTGGCTAGTGTATACTACTTATGTACACAGGATATTACCTGTATGCGTTTTCCTACTTTCATACTTTGTAAACCGAGGCCGTTTTTTCATGTTTAGCTCATGAATTGAAATGCGAAATAAAGCATTTTTTGTTGCAGACAGAATCCTTCTCAATTTCTTTCTTTTAAAATAATTGATATTTTTAATAATTCGACATGATAAAGCTATGTAGCTATTTAAAGCTATAAAGCTACATCAAGAGATTGTACTGGACCTGACCAAAGTGCAGATTTCAAAGCACTTGCACGAGGAAAGACGAAAACAGCTTACCAAAGAACTAATTGACCCAGGTGATCTAAATTACTAATTTTATGAAAAGAATTAATTATTTCAGGGCTTTGCATGAACCGATAACATATGTTTAATACTTTTCAAAAACTCAGCCAAAATGTGTAATATGGAATAATAGCACGAGGAATTGTAAATGAGTTCATTTAAAGAAATATATCTATTCTTACCATTTGTGTCGATCCTTTCTTATTTCAAATTAGCTGGTTTTGTTTTTACCAGAGAAATTGAAATGAGGCATCAAAATTGATATCAAAATTGATATATCATTTTTATATTCACGGAAAGAGTTTTTTTTTTTAAAAAGGTACACACTTTCAATTGACTATATGATCAATACAGCCATCTGTAGTACTCGAACCTTCATTATCTTGGTAGGAGAATCGATGCTTATCATCACCCTCACCAATAATATGCTATTACTATGGTTGATGTCCAGAAGTAAAGACCAGGGGAACGTTTTACAAAAAAATAATTTAATTCTGGTTGTAACGCTGTATTTGGGAAAAAAATTTACGTTTTACAAAAAAATAATTTAATTCAAATTTTGGTTTTTGTTATAACGCTCTTTTTTTCTTACATCAAATGTGATTTGATGAATTTAATAGATTTTAAAAAATTTACTTCATATCGTATAAAAATGGGTTGCCTACGTTGTCGTTGTCGTTGTCGTCGTCGTTAACTTTTCAATTTTCATCTTTCGTCAAAAAAACGTATCAATCCGCCCTTTTCAATGACGTTTATGACATTTTAAATTTTGTACAAATTGAAGTCATTTTGTTATAACAATCATCTTTTTTTTCTTACATCAAATGAATGGAATCATCCTCAAAATTTGTTCAAATCATGACCCCCGAAAATATATAAAAAATTTTAAAAATCTAAACCACTGGGCAAGGAAAGATGAAACTCATGTGGAATCATCCTCAGGTAGTGTTGATTCAAGTTTGTTCAAATCATGACCCCTGGGGGCAAGGGTGGGGCCAAGATGGCTGACCCAAGTTTTACATAGGAATATATAGGAAAAATCTTCTTTTCAAATACTTCAAAGTTATGATTAGTGTTATTTATATAGAATCATCCTCAGGTAGTGTAGATTCTATTTTTTCAAATATGAACTTTGCTGGCCCCTGGGCCTCTTGTTATAAACCGCTTCGCGGTTTATAAAGCGTAAACTGCCCCAACCCTGAGTTCGCGGTTTATAAAAAAGCGTAAACTGTTCCAACCCAGTTTATACCGTATAAAATGGGTAGGTATTAAATTCTTTCCTTAAAAAAAATTAATTACGACTAAGACCAAAAACTTATATAGATAGTAAAATTTTACAGAAGAAATGATTCTGTTTAAAATTGCTACTGTTGAAATATCTTTCTACATTCCCTTAAAAAATGAAAACCATTTTCAATTAAATATAAATTATAAAATTATAAGCAGAAATAAATTCTGGTCTTATTCGTAAATTCTTTTTAAAAAAATATTTAGATAGCAATATATCAAAACTCCTGATGATACAATTGAAACCGGTAGAGTTTTAATCGGCGTTTGTTATTTTTTACTATCTAAATACTTGTGATTTTTTTCTCATACTTTTGAATTATATATGACTATAAGGGGACAGAGACCATGAATTATAATTTTGGTTCCCTTTGCCCATCAAATGCAAATACTAAAATCAACTGTCTGAAATTGGCGGAGCTATTAAAGAGAAAGAAACTCAGCTAATATTCAAATGTAAATAAAAGGACGACGCATGATAGGTGTGTACATGCATGTAAACAGCTTCCCAAAGAACTGATTGACCCAGGTGATCTAAATTATTATTTTTTTTGAAAAAAAAAATCATTTCAGGGCTATGCATGAACCGACAAAATAGAAATAACCACAATTTAGTTTAATTTATATATGTTTAATATTTTTAAAAGTACTCAAACAAAATGTGTGTAAGAGTATAGCACAAAATACTAGCAATAGCACGAGAAAATGGAAGTTCATTAAGAGAGCATTAAGAAATAGATATGTATTCTTACCATTTGTGTCGATCCTTTCTGATTTCAAATAGACTGACTTTGTTCATCACTGAAGTTAAAATGAGTCATTAAAACGATGAATTTTAATTATATCGACTATGAGTACGATTACAAATGTTACAGATGAAACATATCCATAATTCATCTTTGTTTCACTATTTTTCAAGTAACCCGAGCACGCGGGAGTAAGGTAAAATTTTAAAATGCCAATTTTTTCTCAGAAGTTAGGTATTATTCGACACTTTTTTGAATGTTTTTCATATTAAATGATTATTTCAAATATGCGTATTGATGCGGTTCACTATTTGAAAAAAAAATGTTTCAAGGTTTTGTAAAACAATTTGTCAAAATAATTTTGGTTCTTTATTCATCTATCTAAGCATTATATAACACACAATGAACCATAAAAGTCGTTAAAGGAAGTTTCGTGTTCTGGAACAATCGACAGAATAATTATAAAAATGGCAACAAAGACTAGGGTTTCCAATGACAATACAATTACAAGTATATGATCTAGCTATGGAACCCTTTAATTGTGTTCTGTGGATAAATTTTTTGTCGTGATGACTTTTCTCTATTATACCGGTATATGCTGGATAATAGTTTGACATTATGCCGACACTTTCATTTCACTTTCTAATGCTTCGTCCGTCATTATTTGTTGATTCTTTAATTGTATGCTGATACTATTACTTCTATCACTTCTCCATGACACCTGATCCCACCTCTGATGTTGCACTTTCATGTACAATGGTAATATTATACTTTCATGTACAATGGTTTTCTTCGGGTGGAAATTTTCAATGTTACACTCAACTACATGCAATATTTATATATTGTTTTATGGACTTTGATATTGAATACCGTTCGTTATCTCCATATCCTTCATCTTCATTACGTGCTGAAATATTTTTATACGATGATAAATTGACGGTAAATGCTTGTTAGCCCACATGAGATGAAAGTATTATCAACAAATTGACCTTGATGTCAATTTGTTACAGTAATCTTAACTGACGTTTTCCTGGCTTTTAAATGATTGTGATATTTTAAGTACCACGAAAACGTCAGAACCGGTGACATAACGAAAACCGGGAATTAGGAGTCAGCATTTTCGGGTGTATTTCAGACACTTGCAAACTGAATTAAATGTCAAACTCAAATTTATTGATAGTACAATACTTTTAGTACTTACCACTTTTGCTTTTATGGTTCATTTATAAAATATACAATCAGATGAAAACACTTTAATAAGACTGTCGAGATTTGTCTTCATTTCGTGCCTTTTTAAATCTTGCAAGTCCTGTTACGAAATGTGGAGCGATATTTTCTTTTCATTGATATTAGTGAATACTAGAAGCATTGTGCTAAATTTGATAAATTCAGATTTCGGCATTCTGTTCGGTTTGCAAGTATCGAAAATCAACTCCTGTTGGAGAGACGGCGAAATTTCCAGTTTTCGTTATGGCACCAGTTCTGACGTTTTCCTGGCATGTAAAATATCAAAATCGGGAAATAATCCTCGAAAAAGTCGGATATTTCGTGCTATAATTTACTTATTTATATTTTTAGAGAATTAATTCAATCTGATAGTATCCTTCGGATATAAAACGAAATCCAGTGTCGCAGAATACGTTGGAACAAAAGAGGTTTCTTGCTGCTCACTGGCCGTGAGTGCCGAGTATAGGACAAAATCTGCAGCTCTCGATCGATAAGTGGTTGCCTCTCCATATATTGATAAAAAAACTCGAGAGAGACGCTAAACAACGAACTTCAATCTTATAGCTACATGTAGCATATCATAATACTTGTATAAATAAAATATCAATTTATAGATGTAATCATACGAAAGAAACAAAAATTTTTCTCAAATTTAGAAGGCTGGACAATGCAGTTCTTTGTTTTAAAGGGATCATATTCGGATATAAATTTTTGAGAAGTTTCTTTTTACCAACTTTTTGGATATTTTGTTCTTAAAAACAATAGAAATATTCTGCAAAGCAACCCCTACTTTCTCCCTTCTGAGAATTAAGAAACAATGGACACAGTTGTAGCCTCGAACGATTTAAGGTATTTTATTCCATGATGTGCAAGTAATATATACAACGAAGGAACAATATGACAATTTTTAAACCATTGTAGAAAAAAGTATCCAACTAAAGTAATACGTCAAAGGAAACTTTATTCTAAAAGTTTTATGCACATCACAATACTATGAATAACAAAAGATAAGTAGAAAAATGAAGTATGAAATGGAAACTTCAACATGTGTTTGTGTTTAAAATTAACTAAAATCAAAATTTTCAAAAAATATATTCAGAGAAATTGATTTTTAACTCTTAACATTAGTCTCTAGTTAGAAAATATTTGATGATGTTTAGAAACATAGAAACGTGTTCTTTCAAAATCATGAAGTCAGTTGCAATAATGACGGCAAACACCGTGGTGATCATGACAACACCCAACACTCCAATCGACTGAGATGACGGACGACTGTCCATTACGCTGATCTTTTTTCTCGTGTTGGACGAAAGTTGTGTTTTATTAACAATAAGTTCTTTCTTCAACCCTTCTATTACTTTTGCCAATTGTTCATTTGTATAGTTCTTTGGCTTATGCACTCTGTTACATGGGAACCAGCAATTAGCTGAAATGCATAATTTCGAAAACATTGATCTTAGCTTTTCGGTTTTTTGTTTTGTTTTTGCACTTTCCTCATTTCTTACAGTTGATATCGGTATGATCTATGTGACCAAGTAATTACATATTTAATTCATATATTTATTTAGGCTAATACCGTACTCACTTTAGTTAACTTATTTCTTATTCGATTATTGAATTAAGTGAGTATGATTCTAACATTTTGTAAAGGCTTTTGTCAATCACTCTTTGTAATCTCATTCCTGACTGGCGTATTTTTAAAATCAAGTCAATCCACTAGCGCAGTAGGTCTAGGTATAAATACTCATGTTCGATTGAAATTACTTGTCCCGCCAGCCAGTTTTCAAGGTCACAACTTCTCGAGGCCGTGCTGTCCGTAAAGGTATTTTCTTTTGAAATACTTTTCTTTTTTATAACTTGTCATTTTTTCATAACTTATGTTATTTTTCATTCTATTTGAAGTTATAATTATGTATATTATTTTATAGGCATATGCCATTGCTGTTTATTGCTGTTAATAAAGATTTAAACGTGACCTGGTCTTGTTACTGCTCGGATACATTTATTTATTAAATGATCGTTTAAAATTACCAAGTGTTTTCTTGATAAGATTGTTCCTTATCCTAATTGAAATGTATCCAAAATATTTCTAATGGGAAGAGGACTTTATCATCCATAAAGATTGAAAAAAGATACTTTCGCTTATCCCATTTATTTAACAATTCTAAGAATACAGTGAACATATTCTAAGGTTTAACAACAGGATCCCTGGTATCACAAATTTCAAAGGCTAAGACCATTTCGACAATGTATGGAACTATACTGGAATTACGTGACAAAAAATTACGAAAGTCCTTTATAATCATTATAATTAATATTCATAAAGTGTACTCCTAGAAATGCAACATTAAATATTAAATTTTTACTGAATCCGTCCTCAGGCTGAGACTAAATTTGTCAAGTATAGATGTATTATAAATAAATTAACAGTAGCTACTGTATTTTTATGAAAAATCGATATTTATTACAAATCAATCAATGTACGCTAGCTATATTGTAACTATTTTTGTCCCCCGCTTGAAAAGTGGGGGATATTAATTTGGGTTTGTCCGTCCGTCTTTCTGTCTGTCTGTAACGCTTTCGTTTCCACATGATATCTCGAGAACCCTTTGAGCTTTTGCAATGGAATTTTGCATAGCAAATTCCTATGGACTAAGAAAGACCTCTATTTATTTTGAGGTCAAAAGGTCAAAGGTCAAGGACATAAATTTGCAAATTCTGTCTGTTATAACACTTTCGTTTCCACACGATATCTCAAGAACCATTTGAGTTTTTGCAATGAAATTTTACATAACAACTCCCTGTGGCCTAAGAAAGACCCCTTTTGATTTTGAGGTCAAAAGGTCAAAGTTCAAGGTCATAAATGTATACATTCTGTTTGTGTGTAACACTATTCTTTTCAGGCGATATTTCAAGAGGATTTTGAGCTTTTGCAATGTAATTTTATACCAAAAGTCCCTAGGACCTCTCTCACCCCTCTCAAAGAGTCCCGACCCGTTTGTTTTAATAGTATTTTATGTATTACATGTCGCTATTTTTAGCACAGGGGCATGAAGGAGAGTTATTACGTATAAAACAGGTTCCCGGCGGACTTTATATTTCTTATTACATCTATTAGAACTGTTTAATAAAGCTTTAAATTAGACATCATACATTGTGTAAAATTTTGACAATATATCGAACGTGAATATATGCATGTATGTGACTTCATATGTGTATATAATTTTCAGTAGTTAAAGGAGGATCCGTGGTGTAGTGGTATGTCTCTCGATTTCGATGAGAGAGGGCCCGGGTTCGATTCCCGGACAATCCAATTTTTTTTTCGAAATACTTTTTTTTTTACTAAATGATAGTATTCAGCATGTGAAATGAAAGATTTCTGACGTCTGGCTTGTACAAACTCATAAAATCATTATAAAAAGGATCCTCTACACACATGATAAAGAATAATCAATCAAACCTTTTTATCCATATTGGGATATTTTATTTGCTTCAGTATACATTTAATTATTCTACAAATTCAGTAAAGGGGATCCGACCCCCCCCCCCCCCCCCGACCCTCCAACTGTGCATGGTTTACTTTTTCCCTAAGCGGGGGACACAAATTCTCTGAATTAGCTTGTTATTTTGTATAACGACTGCTAGGATTAAAAAGAATTAGGGTGACTGTCGCAGACTACATCAGAATAAGGAAATATCGACCCAATACGCAAGTTTCGAGATTATCTCCCTTGGTGCGCTCTTTCGTTGAGGAGGGGAGTTTCGTTGCCGCGTAAACAAAAAGGTGGGACAGATATTTGATACTGTGATTGCATCATCGATATACCGGTTTATCATTACTACGCGATTGTCAGGATGCACTCTACAACTTGAGAATAACCTAATTAAAGTAAAGGCATCATTTTTGAAGCAAAAAAATCGAAACAAAAAAGAAAATATCAGTGGATGTGAGACTTTTCGGACGAGGGAAGAGATATGGACCTCTGATAAATACGGTGCACATGCATCTGATTACGTCGGGAATCTTAATGACATATTGATTCTTTTCCTTATTATGACTTTAAAAACACTAACTTTTTAGAAAATGTTCGTACAATCAAGAAATTCGGTTACTTTTTATAAAAACTATGACGTTTCTTTCATTTTCAAGTACCCGAAAATTAATAGTAGATTTGTAAATATGCATAGTTGAGCTTGATAAATCATCAAATGCATCACTGCTGAACATTATGTAAATTTTAAGAACATAAATATCGTTCTTTTACACGCGAAAATGTCCCACCTCCATGTTGAAATGTACTTTTTGCGCCTCTATCTACATAAACTGGCGTATTAACTTGGTTCTTGATCTACTGTTGTAAATCGTATTTCTTATAAAAAAAATTGATTGCATTAGCTCCCCATCTTCCGTTTTGATACCTTTCTCTACAAACTTCACTAAAGATGTGTAACACTTTTTTATATTTAATACAATTTAAATATTTTAAGAAGTATTTTAATGGCAAACAAGGGCGTTCCATGTGAATAGAAATATTTAGAAAAGGCAGTTTTCCTATTTCAACAAGAAATTTAAAAAAAAATATTTTAAGCACTCAGACTCAGTTACCATGCGAGTCGCAATATTTAGAAAAGACCCTCTTCTCTGTAAACAAAAGACACCCGGCGTATCATGTGAATGGTTGTATTTAGAGGGTTCGTATATGGGAGATTATTAATTCACAAAGATTTTTTTTTAAATAAAAAAAACCCACTCACACGGCGGACCATGTGAATGGCAATGTTCAGACATCACTGCTAACTTTGACACAAGTAAACTATATATATGTATTCAGAAAAGATTGTTTTCCTTTTAATAAAAAAAACACCACTCACATGGCGGACCATGTGAATGGCAATGTTAAGACATCACTGTCCCCTTACTATTTGTTAACTTTGACACAAAGTAACCTATAGTTGATTAAAAACAGGCCCTGCATCAGACAGCCTGCATTACTATAATAGTGTCTTAATGTGTATACAAGAAACATGTTGTCATCCCATGAGAATCCCTCGCAAGGCATATAAAGACACAGATTGCAATTCAAGACATATAAGATTTTGTAATTTTTCGGAAACATTTTTAAGAAAGGAACTTTGTCTTTCTTTTTTTCAACATTACACTTTTTAGTCTTCCGAAGGGTCATCAGACAGCCTAGGAGACGACGACAATGTCATTCCGTATATTTTACTTTTTCGCCGTGCAATGCAAGGGTTCATCAAGACGTCGCAATGTCATGATGCACGACACTGATTCCTCCTTTCAGAGCTCTCCATGCCAAGAAGAAAAATATTCCTCTAGCGTATATAAGAAAAAAAATACCCCTCACACGGCGGACCATGTGAGAGGCGGTAAGTATATGAAAATGACTGTCTGACTATTTCTCCACTAATTAAACCTGTAAGGTCTAAGTATGCCACATAACAAACAACACATAACAAATGCTTTATGTCCAAAATGTATTGAACACCGTTTCGCCCTGTAAGGGCTCATCAGGCCGCCTAGCAGACGACGACAGTGTTTTTTTTTTTTTTTTTTTTTTTTTTTTTTTTAACGTTTTTTCTCATAATCAATTAACATGTATGACAATAAATGTACAATAAACATATGCTCTATATTAAAATGGACATGAATTGAATAAAATCTGTATATAGCTTTAATCATTATTATCGCGCATCTGTAGAACATTTAAATTAATAAGTTACATCGTGCATTTTCTCTCTTATCCAATTAACATGTATGACAATAAATGTACAATAAACACAATTGTTATATTACAATAGACATGAGTTATATAGAATCTGTATGTACATTTTGCATTCTCATTGTGCATCTATCGAACAGTTGTTACATTGCTTTACAAATTTTACAATTTAATAGAAATCGCATCATGGAAACTATAATACAAATGTTCAATTGTCACATTTGGATCTTCTGGGAAGTCTTTTGCGAGCACCAAGTCGAGACAAGAGCCACTCTCTGTCGTTGGCTTGTTCACAAGTTGTTGGTAGCCATAGCTTGTAAACAACGTTTTTAGAGATGGTTTTCCAAAGTAGTTGTCATTGAAATCGCCCAGAATCAACACTGGGGAGGATATTTCTTGATTGATTTGGGATAATAGAGAGCTGATTTTGGCTTTAAACTTATCCATTGGATATATTGGAGGTCTGTATATCACGAACACCGCTACCGCTGTTGGTTCTAATATTTGTATTGACACACACTCTAAGTCCTTTACTTTGGTCGTGTACCTTGTATGTTTGACATCTTTTGTAAATATTGCGACCCCACCCTTAGCCTGTGATTTTAGTTGTCGAAATATGGGATCAGAGGATGTGTATGCATCCTCTCGATAGACTGCGTGAACATCTGAGTTTGGAATTAAGCTG